TAGACAAACAGTTCCATCACGTGAACCTGTAACTAGTACAGGATGCTCAGGATGGAAACAGATTGCATCGACTACACCAAGATGTACGCCTCCAACTGTTTCAACAAGATTCTGTGTGTGCAAGCTCCAAATCTGTGTCAACAGAAGAAAAGGATTATAATTAATAATACTTCGTATATATATGTTGAACATCGTACTTACTGAGAAGATGCCACACCTTGACAGTCCCATCATAGTCACCAGTAATCAAATACTGCTGGTCACCATTAGCAAAGTGATCGAAGCAAGTTATAAAACCTGGATCTTTATATTCTGACAATATGAGGCCCTGTTTAGATTCCAAAAATTTTCACCTCAAAGTGTCACATCGAATCTTGCGGCACATGCATGGAGTACTAAATATAGACGAAAAAAAACTAATTGCACAGTTGGGTGAGAAATTGCGAGACGAAACTTTCGAACTTAATTAGTCCATAATTAGACACTAATTGCAAAATACAAACGAAAGTACTACAGTAACCAAAACCAAAAAAATTCGCTATCTAAACGCGCCCTGAATTCAGCAGAACCAGGAGCCCGAAGACTGCAAATCTGAAAAGGGATGGTACATAGACCGTCAGAAGGCTATATATTACCAGATTGACTAAAGTTTTGGATTAAAAAATGGTATAAGACTGAAACCTTTATTATTTCAGAATCGCCATGAACTGCAAAAGTATCCGTATCCTTTATGTTTAAAAAGGTGGCTCCATAGACACGGTCAAAGTCAGAAAACTCAAATATTCGAGTGCATTCCCAGCCCTTTTCCCAGTCCCACAACTTGACGTTTCCCTCGTCCAAAGAAGCTGACAGCACATATGGCTCAGTTGGATGAACTGCCAAGTCCTGTATGTGTAACGATCGGTGTGCTTTGAAATGCGCGAGTCGCTGCATTGCCTTATAGCAATACACATGAATGTAACCACCCTGATCTCCGGCCACAAACCATTGCACGCGTGCAATAAATTTGGCCGCCGTCACAGCTGGAATTGCAGTGATTAATTTATTTTTATTCAGAAAGTGGTCCCGTGGGAAAAGAACCAGCTGGAAGTAGAAGTCAGAAAAAAAAGAGATAACCTTCTATGAACGGAAGCATATTGGACAGGTCCAGCTCTGTCTGAGCATAGACAGAAAAGCCGTTTGTTTTCCTACTCTGAGTAGCCAGTACTCCCACTGTTTCAGATTGTAAATTACTAGGAGTACCCTTTTAAATATATATAGGTTTTGCTATACACCTATATCTACGTCTTATATCTATATCTAAAGGATCTGCTACAGTACTCCAACTACAAGGTAATAGTTTAAATAAATTTTAACCGTGGTTTTTTAGAATTTATAATGGAATTAAATAATTAGAAATTCAGAAAATTAAAAAGGAACTGCCGGCCATCTCTGATCCTCTCTCACGCGGGCAGCTTCTTTCCTTCCAGACATTGGCCCGTTACCAAATGCCGGAGATCTCTCCTTCTCAACAATCTAACTTCTGACATGTGCATATGCCAGATATATGAGTTACAAATTACGCCAGAATCACGGAACACCAATAAAAATACGTTACATACATGAAAAATATCAACAGCTAACCAGTCACGTACACACGTAAAGTTTCATGCACATTTTTATAACATGTTTCATGTAAGCTGGACATGTTCGTTGGGTATGCACACAAAGTTGGCATATGGACAAAGTTTCACGTATGCATCAATACATACATCATGTAAAACTGTAAACATATGCATTAATAGATCACATGAAGTTGTACTTATCTCATATCTAAAGTTGCAAAAATAAAAAACTTTACCATATCCAATAGATCACATATGTATCAATTAGATCTAAAAAATTCTTTATATCTAACTTTCCTTATTTATCCTATTTTACAAAATTAAAAATATTTATTGCCATCTGATCTAATTAATGAACGGCTCACAGTGATTTGCGAGTACCACATCAAAGCTCATATCAAAATGACCAACAATTTAGAATGAAGTAATATTTAATAATGACCAACAATTTATTGGAGGAAGTGATATTTAATAGGGCTATTTCTTGAATAGCCGGTGTATAACTGACCCTAGAAGTTATATGGCAAATGATACACACAAAATTGTCATACCCTGTACATATGGCACGCCAGACAAATAAAATTAATGTAGTTTGGACCCATATTTGATCCATTTAGGATGACCCATAGTCTATCAAAACATTAGAATCTTGACTTATAGTTACAACTTACAACTAAGATATTATGGACAGGCACCGTCACTGCTAAGACATTATAATCTTGGCTTACAGTTACAACCTACAACTAACATTATGTTGATCATTAGATTATCTGTCATGTTTTTCAATGCATAGGCAGGTAATTCAAATATAGATTCATGGATTACTTTATGTTGTTTTATACGATCGTAGAGGAGGGTAGTTATTTAGAAAACAAAATAGTTTAAATGGCTATTACTATTAATGGTGACTAGAGTCTATCGAATTGATAACCAGATGTTTCAGTATTTTGTGAGAATGTCTAGGTTTTCTCTCTTTTTTCTAGTGGGGCTCATGAATGTTAACGTGAGGCTATGTCGATGAAGACCTCTAGTTAGAATTTCTAGGATTTAACTTTGTTAGCATGATATATATTTAGTTGAAATCTAAGCTTAAGTTATTATGCTCTTTGAGCATCTTTTTTGACATCATGAATATTTATTTTATTTTTCAACTTTAATCTAGTTGTTGAAATTTTTTATGTTAAGTTGAAACTCAAGTACTTATTGTATCTTTTTTCCTTCAAAATTGTCATACTTTGCTTTACAAAAAAGTATTATAGGTCCTAGGCTACCCTCTCCCTGCGCTGCATACTGTAAGCCATTTTGGTTTTTGTAGATAAATAGCTTTTCTTATGCATCTAAATATACACTGTCTATAAGTAGAGTAAAACCTCATTATCTAGAAAAGCCATAGCAAATTACAATTTGGAACAAAGAGACTAATTAGTGTTATAAATAGTCATTTCAACTTGCACCTTGACACTCAAGATGTTGAATTTGTATATCAAATAATTATATATATGTGTAGAAGTATTATTCTATATAAAAAATAGTGCTTAAAATTAAATTACTAATATTGATACATGTTTCAATAAAAGATTATAAACTTATTTAAGATTACAACTAACAAAATTATCATATGGTAATATAACTTGTAGGGATTTACTGTGTCATTGCTATGCTGTTTGTTAAGGAATGCATTTTCATACTTGATAAGCTTTTAAAGTAAATAAATATTTATCCTGAGGTATACATGCTTACTTGGTCTACATGGTGAAACATAGGACTGTGTTTACTCCTAACTTAAATAGTGTTAGAAGTGTGAAATTTGCAAATACATATAGTGTACTTTATGGAGATTGAATATTTTTTGTAATATCTTATTTAGCATTTACATGTATATCTGAGAGATTTTTTTTTCAACGAATAAGGTAGATTAGAATACATAGTAAAAGGTATTACTTTGTATTGTCTTTCATAATTTCAAGTATGGATAATTTGAATGCAAACTTATGGGTTGTTTTGCATTATATTTCATAATGATATAGCTATGTAATTTATAAAAACTATTATGATGATATTTGATATTATATTTCATAATGGTAGGGTTTGGCGATTTAGATACAAATTTGGGGTTTATTTTGAATTATCTTTCATTAATAGCATAGGTGGGTAATGTAGAGGCAAATTTGTAGTTGGCAGGGTGTATAATTTAGATACAAATTTAGGTGATTATTTAAATTATCTTTTGTAATGGTAGTGATGGGTAATTCAAACGTAAAATTAGGACGTTACATTATAATATTGTCATAGTGGTAGAGATAAGTATTTTTATAAAACATTTTAAATTAAATGCCTATTATTGGCGGTGATGAGTACCGTCTACCAAATTAAAATCCAGATGTTTCTGATTATTGTGAGGATTTCTTTAATTTATTTTTTCTACCGCAACCAGTGAAAATTAACATGGGATTCTAAGGGGCTGTTTTGTTGCCTGGTTCTAGCCCGGCCAGGCTCTCGGCATGCGACTTCTGCATGTTTGGTTGCTTGCGCTTGCGGCCGGCCACGCTCCCGCGGTGCAAGATGTGCCTCCCAGCCAGGCCTGCGGGAAACGTAGGGCCTTGCATCCACCTGAACCAGGCTGGCGGGATGCAGGGACCGGCCGTTTGGTTGCCTGCTCACCTGGTTGAACCAGGCTCTACGCGTGCACGAGGCACCCCGCGGCCAGGCTCTGTAGGAACGAGCAAATCGGCCGTTCCTGTCGGGCCTGGCTCGCTGGATGCAGCTGCTTTCACACCTAATGACACTATTAGTGTATGATTAGTGAATATCAAGTGATATTAATGTATTTTAAAGATGTTTAAGACATAGTTAGATAAAATAAGTACTTTAGGAGTGTATTTGCATAAAATAAAAAATCATATTCATAACCTTGTAATATTTTTATCTCATGCAATATATCTTCATACAAGCAACCAAACAACATATCTTCTCAGCCAGGCTAAGTCGACGCAGTCAACCAAACATGACAAGGTCGCATGCACTCAGCCTGTCCCATGTGAGCCAGGCTCTCAGATACAAGCCAGGCTCTGCTAGTACGCGAACCAAACAGGCCCGTAGGAATCGAGCATTCTCGTCGGGCCAGGGCGGCGCGGTGCAGGCTAGGGCGCGCGAGCTGCACGAGAGGACAGAGCAGCAGTGCAAGGCCAGCTCATGCGCCTAGGCAACCAATCAGCTTCTCTGCTCGGCCATGCTGCATGCGCCCAGCCAACCAAACGGTTAGCAATTGCATAGCAGCAGCCTGGCCAGGGAGGGCCTAGCTCGGCTGATGCGATGCAGGCTGGGACGTGCGGGAAACCAAATACGCCCTAACTCTTTAAGATGGCTCTATGCACTCAGCTATATACTACTACACACTCACTGTGTCTGTGCAGCACTTACCCTGATCTCGTAGTTCCAAATTTCAATGCCACGTGCCTCACCAGATGTTATTAGAACCCTGCGTGTACCACATAAGAAGTTCTGTGAGGACAAATAACAGTTGCGTTGAAGAACTCGATGTACGAAACAATAATCAATGCTAATCCGTGTCATTTCAATGGTGAGTAAATAATGATTCTTTGCACGCACCATGGTTCCAATGGATGCACGTCTATGGTATAAATATGATTCATGGATAATACCTGATCCAATCAAACGAACGCTAATTACCACCAAAAGATTTAAGCGTCACATATATTATGAGCAAAAATAAGAAAAATAAAATTATGTATATACCTCAATTCTGGGCTGTATTGGTGTAACAACACCACGAAATTAAGCAGTCGCACAATGATGCCCATTCGTCCAAGGACAAACTAAACAGAGAAAAAGTATCTTACAAATAAAATTCACTAAAGAAAAAAAATCATATGATCTCGATCTATTTGTTAGCATGGGGCGTGATAAGTTTCGTGCTTTAGCTTTTACTTGTCCAAGGGACATAATATCACTGGAAATAATGCAATCAATGTTTCCTAGAAAACATACAGAATTTTTTCAGAACACACCTTGGATGCTAGCTGGCTTGCACACTCATGAAGGCTCGTTATCTTCACCTGTTTCAACACATCGTGAACTGCTTCTGCTTTGTTAAACATGTAGTCAATGTTCAACGATAAGTCCAAGTTGGCTGCAACGCTCTGGATGTGAATTGTGCTCAGGTTTGGGGGTGGTTTCTGTTGCTTTTGCATCGTCAGAATGTAAGTCTGAGTGGATCTTGCAGGCACAGTGCCATTGAGTGAACCGACGAAGATATCTGGGGTATTTGGTTGAATCCTGTAGGCAATATGATGATCTGCGTTGTTGGTTAGCTGCACTGGGCATGGAATCAGCTTATCTGGCTCGAAGGGGAAGCAGAGATGTGGAGGTTCAACAACAAATAGCTGCTGGTACAGTTTGTCAATAGTTTCTTCTGTTTCATTCAACATAGTGATGATATTATCCTCTATGCTGGGCCTTTTGTAGCTGTTGGATTCAACACAGTTTAGTGCAATCTCAGTGCAAGTCTTTACTTGGTTGCAATACACATCCAAATATGATGCATCTTTCCATCCTGCCGCCAGTAGCATTTCCCTCCAGTTTCCTTGAACCTGCAATAGAAGTGAATCAGGAAACGCCATACCTGACTGACTATAAAAACATGAGGAGCCAAAACTACAAGAAAATGGTCATTGTGGTCCTCGTAAGAAAAAAACTGACTTCTCGTACCAGATAAATGAAGTCTTGGGAATTGGACATGTGAGAATATGAGTAGTAGCCATCGGGTCCTGCCAATACTTTTATAATTATGACACCCAAGCTAAATACATCAAACTTCTTTATGATTGTCTCCGTATCTACATACTCGGGTGGCGCGTACCCGCTGAAATATATTTGAAGCATCCCATTGTAAGTAAGAGTGATGTAAACCTAATTAGTTTATTTTATAGAAAAAGATGCCCAAGACAATATCTTATCTAAAACATATATGAAATTATGAATATATAGGATAAACCTTATTGCACAAAGGCTTTTGGAGAGGCCACAACAGATGCCCGTTCAGTAGAACGGAACCATAACTTTGCTTGTCAGAATTCAGCAGAGTTAAGGCCAGGAGGGCATTCGGGGGCACATCGGGTTATACTTGCATTTCTCAAGGACCACAGACCACCAATATATATAATGCAACCTGATGTCTTGCCTGTAGATTGTTGGACAGGCCGAATCAGTCGTTGCTCCTCTTCTCACACCATGTAACACCCCTGTGCCCCCACCGAACAAGGCTGGGCACTAGATAACCCAAATCTAAAGAAGGTACTAAGATCTAAGGATTCAACTGAAGCTATAATTCTGATGAACTTGATCTCCCACCTCGCAAGCCGTTTGCAGATGCCAGGTAGAACATGACTGGGCCCAAGAGGGAACCTGAGGACTCCTGTTTTTCTAGTGGATTCCCTCCAAAAACTCCACTTATGCAACAAATGCCGTGGACACGCGAAACCCACAACCAGTCATGCAAGATAGTCAGGGAAACAAAATTGAGAGATCTGCCACCACAACACCCCCGTTGCTCAAGCCGTCAAGCGGAGCACAAGCGGATGTTTTCTTTGCCTAATATCCCTATAATCTGACTAGATCTACTTGGAGGGACGGGTCCCTTCTCGCCGTCCTCTCTCAATGCGATAGTGAAGTACCATTCCAAAAAATGTTTTTCTTAGTCTTATTTTTTTATTTCGAAAATATCATATGAAGAGGGGTGACATTTGCCTATAAAATTCCAAGTCTGAACTTGACTTCTTTTTTTGAAACATAAAATTGGCATATCATGAGGAAGAAACAAAAGCGGAGCAAATGTATTTCTTCTGTGTTTTTACGCCCTCACAAATGGAGTTCAGGATATGTCTCTCCCTCCTACCATATGTGAATTCTCCCATAATGTTTGGAAACTTCTTGACTTTTTTTTGAGAGAGAGGTCTCATGACTCAACAGGGCTAGTGTGGTTTTCCATTAAATATTCCTAATCGCAAAGGCACTCCCTATATCATAAATATTACATGTGTAGTAACGTGTTAGGAAAACAAAAAAGAAATTAACCAATAGATCTCTCTAAGGAATGGGCAGTGAACTCACGGTTTCCCTAGAAAGTTTTTTGTAATATGAGGTTGAAGAGTTCCACTAAAGAGCCTTGATAAGCCAAAGTCTGCAATTTTTGACACCATGTCCTTGTCAAGCAATATATTTGATGGTTTGAGGTCGAGATTGAAAATTCTTTCTCCATGAAGGTATTTCAAACCGTAGCAAATCCCCTTTATGATTTCGTAACGACTATGCCATCGGAGTTCTGAATGTTCACCTATAGAAGGAAATAAATGGTACATGCTCAAGAAACTATTCTATAAAAACTAACTAGCATACTAGCAAAACAAAAGCACCTCGTACCAGAAAGATGCTTCTCAAGGCTTCCTTTAGACTAATACTCCAAGCATATAGCCCTGTCTATCATTGTAGTAACCACTAATTTGCCTTGGTGTTCAACACATCTATCTCGTTCTATGTAGCTTTCCCAACAAGTTGCACAACATTTGGACGGCAAATTCCAGTAAGTATTTGAAGTTCATTTTGAAACTGATCCTCATGTAGTCCTGGCATATGGTGAAGCTTTGCCACTGCTACCTCTTGTCCATTTGGATGCACTCCCTAGTATGTATTTGATTACAGATTTAATTATTTATTAGTTCAAACTGAAAAAGTAGGCAGCAAAATCATTGACCATACCTAGTAAACCACTGCATAGCCACCACTACCGATTTTTCGCTCCACTGCAAAACCATTTGTAATATCTTCTATTAATTTCCATGGTAGATCTGTTGGCATCTCCCTTGGATTGTGTCGTTGGTTATTCATACTCTGTACTAACAAAAGGCAATGATCATCTAATGAACAATTATTTATACACCCTCCTGTACTCAAACATAATGGTGATTTTTTGATTCAACCAATCAAACTTTTTGGAAATTTTACTGAATCTACTCATACAAACATCATATGTAGAAATATGATAATGGCACTTACATATTATTCTAGTTTTACAAATGAAACAAGATATAGTTTGTTATTTTCCAGTGCAAAGTTTCCAATTCCTTATGCAACCTCTATTGTACATTGGCATCTAGGATCGGCGCCAGAAACCCAGCATGTCAATTACACAGACAGGGTTTTTTTGGTGAGCCACATGGAATCAATCTCGTACGTACAGAAATTATGGGAACATGAGAATGGATAGGTAATATTTAGAGCACCCTATGCCAATTTGAAAGACAAAATGAAACAAAAGGACTTCCATGCACTCAACTAGAGAAATGTTAGCCGGATACGGTTCAACATTTACAATACAAAATGAATCATTATCTAAAAAACAAAAATAAAATGAATCCATGCTGCAATAAGCAGAGCTCATGTAGCCTGGTACCAACAATTGTATTGTACTGCTTAAGGCCAGAATTTCAACTGCCATAATAAAAGATAATTTCAAATGAAACTCGTATAAGCAATCACTACTGGAAAACTGTACTTTGCCGAGTGGCTGAGACTTTGCCGAGTGCTTTTTATCGGGACACTCGGCAAAGAAAAATTTTGCCGAGTGCCGCACTCGGCAAAATCAAGCACTCGGCAAAGGTGGCTTTGCCGAGCGCCATGCACTCGGCAAAGCCTGGCTCTCGGCAAATCTAGGCTTTGCCGAGTGCCGCGGCACTCGGCAAAAGTCCCACTCGGCAAAAGGTGGCCGGCCCGTGACGGCGGGCATCTGCCGTCAGACTTTGCCGAGTGCCTAACGGATGGCACTCGGCAAATTTTTTTATTATTATTTTTAAAAACTTATTTTGCCGAGTGTAAACCTTAGGCACTCGGCAAAATTTTTTTTTTAATTTTTTAAAACTTATTTTGCCGAGTGCCAGCGTCAGGCACTCGGCAAAAAAAAAATTATTTTTGAAAATCAGCTTTGCCGAGTGCCTTCTGGGCCGGCACTCGGCAAAGCCCACTTTGCCGAGTGCCCCCCCATGGCACTTTCGGCAAATTTTTTTTTTTTTGGGCCCCAAATTTTTTACGTGGCCTTGTGACAGATATTTAAAACTCTATTTTAAAATTTGGGGCAATTTTGACTTTTTGATATATTTCATAAGTTTATTTACGTTTACCATCTAATTGTTTGGGATATTTCAAATTTAAGCTGCAGGTACATGGAATAATGGACTTTGGTCATCAAAAATTGATACTCATGATATTTAGGGTATGTTTAGGACTTTCGTATCCTAAAAAGTCACATGAAATCTTATGAGTATCTATTTTTGCGTAACATGTCGATTATACTTGCGAAATGTGATTTTAAATTATATAAAATGCAAGCGAAATCAAAAATCATCATGAAACTTATCGATATATCAAAAAGTCACATGTGGAGGCTGTGGTAAAAAAGAGTTTTAAATTTGAGCAAATTGTGGCGTTTGATGCCCAAAACCCGGACATCTCGGTGGCATTTTTGGCATCTGTTAAAGTGGGTTTTGCCAAGTTAAAATCACAAGGCACTGCAAAGCTGATTTTCAAAAAAAAAATTTTTTTTGTCGAGTGCCATGGGGGCACTTTCGGCAAAATAAGTTTTAGAAATCTTGGCCGAGAATAGTGCTCAAGGCCAAGCTTACACTCGCAAATTTTTTTTTTTTTTTAAAATAAATAAAACGCCGCCTTTAAAATCCCCCAATTTAAAAATTCAAAAAATCTTAGTCAGTGCTCAAGGGCTTACACTCGGCAAATTTTTTAAATAAAAATTTGCATGGCCATCAAATCCCCCACTTGGGCACCTAGCCTTTGCTTTCTGCAAGCCTGGCCTTGCAAGCTCCTGAAAATTGCCCAAACACCTTTTCTCATTGCCAACACTGGCCGTCACCCCATCATAGACGCCTGAAACTCCCCGCGCCAGGGCACACACATCAAATTTTTTTAAATAGCTCTCACCATCACCTGCCCCCCTCCCCGAAAGCACCCTCACTCACCCACCGCCCCCCCACACACCCTCCCGAGGACCCCCACCACACCCCTCCCATGCCCCTCCCCACCCGCACGCCCAGCGCCCCAGCCCCCACCCCCCGTAGCACGCCCCGCCTGAAAGCACCGCATGAGCCACCCAGCCACAGGCCCCCCCACACGCCCACGCCCAAGCAGCCCCCCACCACACTGCGCGCCCCCCACCCCCCAGCGCCCCCCCAGTACCCCGGCCGCCACACACACCACAGCCGTCTGCCGCCACAGGTCGCCACCGGCATGGCCACAAGGGGGTTGTCCTCCCTCGCACGCGCCGCCCCTGGCGCCCCTGCTTGCTGCCGCCGGCTTGGAAGAAGGAGGAGGAAGCAGCAGAAGAGAGAAGAAGGAAGAAGAAGGAAGAAAAAGAAGAGAAAGA